CGCCGGCTGTGGAAAAGGTGCTTCAGGCCGTGGCCGAACATGGAGCCCTCGGAAAGCTGCTGGATTTTCTGCGGGAGAGGAGAGAGGAGCCCCCCTTAGCGCGGGCAGCGCTTGGCAGGGCCGTGACACGCGCAGGGGACGCAGCAAAGGCCACATCTCGGGGATGCCACCGCGCCAAGGTCACGCGTTCGGGCATTGGCTTGAAGGGACCGTACCCCTACGGACAGGGGGCATGCAGCAATATTTTCCATAGCTGGAAAAACCCTGGGACTCCCAGGCTTGGGGACTGGGCCACCAACATGCAGCAGAGAGCTTCCCGCCCTGGGGAATATGCTCCAGGAGAGAAAAGAGAAGGTTTTTCCCTCTGACACTTCCATGGTCTCCAAAAGCAGCGCATAAAACCAGCCTGGCTTTACCAGGGTGAAGCTGCACCTCCCGGCCCGGTGCCACCAGTGGGGACTGAGTGGCCTTGGCCAGCACAGCAGAGACCTCCCTGCAGGACACCGGGCACAACGTCCCTCCAGGGCCCTCAGCATCGAGGCCGGGGATGGATCGGTCATCGGGAGCAGAGGGATCTCCCAGCGCCGCTCCCGCGCCGGCGCGGCCGGCCGCGCTCATGCAATATGGATGCTGGAACAGATTGAGCTCCTGATTACGGGCAGGTGAATCCAGCGCCGCTTCCTGCGCTCACTGCAAGGCCCAGATTGGCATCCACGAGAGCCGCGTTTGGCTCGTTGCCTTCTGCAACCTTCTGCCTGCCCTCGTCCCCGCTATTGGCCTCGGCTTAGTAACTCCTGGCGTTGGACGGTCACTCGATGACCACCATGAGATGGGCTTGGTGCATTCAGTTGAGCTCCCGGTGGATCACGTATCCTAGTCCAACACTGCTCCCTGATCCCAAGGAAATAATCTTGGGACACTGAAAGATCCTCTCACTCCACAGGCAGCCTCAGCCACCAGAAACTCAGTGGTTAACATGGCACAAGCTCGTGCTCCTGCTCTGCACGTCTCTGTTTTGCAGCATCTTGACTCCTAGGATTGAAACCCTAACCCAGAGGGACCACTGATATTGTGTGCCTGGGATTTATCCCCAGGGATGCTGGTTTCCCTCTTGGCGCTGCTCTGATTTGCTCGTGCTTGAAAACAAACGTGAAGCGGGTTCAGAATTGGGAGCTGCTTTTAGCCACGGTGTTACTTGGCAAAACTGCGACTTCTGGAAAAGCAGGGACCTGTTTTAAGACACAACCTCCCAGAGCATCCAGATGGCTGGAGGACATTGTGTCCGTGCAGGAAGGACTCACCTCCTAAAACACCCAGCCATTTACTACAGATTCATTAATGCTTAATTCTCATTGCGTCTGTACTGTTTACAGGGAATTGGGGTGCTACTAATAGCACTTAGATCCCATATTGCTAAACACTATAGGCAAAACCTTTAATCCTTGTTACCCACTCGTGATGAAGAATTGTATCCCTTTGGTTTTTCCTGAGAAAGACGTAACAAATCTGTGGTGCTCAACTGCTACTCCAGGAAATTGTGATTTAAATTTTATTCTATTTATACGGTCTCTATGGAAACAGAGACAGTGTTAGATAGGTAATAATATAAACCCACAGATCTCCACCATCAAGGGTACAAGAGAGGCTCCAATTCCTGCTTAGCCCTTTAGGGTAGGTCCAAGTGAAAGGAAAAGGCCAATTCCCATCCTTGAGGGTAACTAAAACAGAATAAAAGCAAAGCCAGCAAAAAAGGGAAGATGACTTTTACAGCAACATCAGCTGCAGGTGAGAACCTGTCATCTTTGGTGGGCATTTGGTCCGACAGCTCAATCTGATAGAGATTTTTCTTTTAAAAATAATTAAAAAAGAGGCTTTTTCCTTTTTTTTTTTTTTTTTCTGGAATAAAACCACCTCTAGCTCATAATAGAGCATCTATACAGACTACTTGGGAACAGCCATGGCTTAATAACTGATGTAAGAGCAACAGAGGTTAATTTCTCTGTGCAGACAGCTGCAAAATGCCCAGGAATATCTTTATTTTGCGTGTCTTAATTAACGGGGCTGCTTGATGGCAGGGACTTGTTTTCATGGGCTTTAAACGAGCTGCGCCTGGCTCTCATCCTCCATCCTGCCCTAAGTGGATCAGCCCGGCGCTATTCCCGGCTCCGGCAGGGTCAAGGCCAGGCGGCTTCCCGAGCGTCGCTCCGGCTGGACGTGGCAGCACCGGCTTCCTCCTTGCACGGTTATCCCTGCGGATCCCCCGTGCCGCTCTGCCGGGACACGTCGGTCTCCAACCTCCCTCCACCTCCTCGCAGGGGTTTCCAGCAGCTCCCAAGCCTCTTCCTTGGGTTTCAGGTGGCCGAGGAGGAGATCTTGTTGCCGTGACCTCATAGCACAGCTGCGCGCTGCAAAGTTTCACTCTATTATTGTTATTATTAATTATTTATATCCCAGGCCCGCCCAGAGGCTCCAGCCAAGAGCGACAGACCCATCGGAGGCCCGGCACAGTCATGGGAAGAGAGCCTGGCCTGGGAGCAGAGCGGGAACTGGATGGGAAAACCCTTCCCTCCCGCCCGGAGACAGCCGGGATGCTGGGCAGGAGCAGCCGGAGAGGAGGTTTTCCTAGGAAGTCTCTAGTCCCACTGCTCTTGGCCAGGTTTTCCTGGCTTTTTTCCTTGTGGGTCTCGAAGCAAGCAGATCCTGCGGGAGGCGGCGTTAATCCCGGGAATGCAGCACACGGTCCCCTGAGCTGTGCGTGGAGCCGCTTCCCTCCTGCACTTGCCACAGCCGCCAAGCGAAGCACAGGGATAGTGTGAGTGGAAAACGGAGCTCTCCCCCACGCACGGTTCTCCTCTGGGGGCCAGCATGAGAGAACGAACATGTGACGAACATGAGTCATGTTGCTGAACGTGCCACCAAAATCCTATAGCGACACGGACCTTATTAAAGCCGGTCGGGAATAAACCCTGCAGCTGCAAGGACAGCCCTGCTGCTCCACGGAGCCCTCGAGCTCCGCACCCGGAATGCCGCGCGCGTGGGGACATCTCGGCTGCGCTACCCGCGTGCCGGGGGGCCCGGGGTGCCGCTGGATCCGGCAGCGCCCGTGCCGGAGCCGCCGAGCCGTTGGGATGCAGCATCCATGGGAGATGACGGATGGAGCGGCTCCGGTGGCCACGCGGTTCCCGCTCGAGCTGCTCGACAGCAGCCGTGTTCTGCTAACCACAGGGGACGCCGCTCACCTTGGCAGTGTCCTTTTAAGACCAAAATATGCCTGGAAAAATTGTTCGTGCGAGCGATTAAATATAAATGTACTTCAGGGCTTAGAACAGGGCCTGGCGACCTTTATGGGCGAGGAGGAGTCAGCCCTCCCTGTCCTCTCCGAGACGACCCGCGAGGCTGCACGTGGGACTCTGCTCCCCAGGCCCCTTGTAGAGGAGCCAAATTAATTTGGCTTCTTTTTTTCTTATTTTTTCCCCAGAAATTAACGTATCTAAGGAAGGACTTGACCAACGCCAGGTAAATGCTGCTGCAAGACCGCCGAGTCCTGTCCCCTCCGGCCATCCCGGACGGATGCTCCAGGCCGGGCTGTGCTGGAGCAGCTCCGGGCAGCTGCGCCTTCCCGAGTGCCTCCTCCGGGCCTGGGAGAGGGGATGGATCCAGGATAGCGCTTCCAAACTCACTGCTGGTCTTGGCTTTCAGGTCAAAAGCAGGGAAGGCCTTAGCCACAGAGACTGAGATCATGACACCGGAGATGGACATTACGTCAGGCTTGAACTCGTGGCCTTTGGTCACAGCCGCCCAGTTGGGAATGGGAAATCAGTCGGATCAGAGGTGCGTGGGGAACGCAGGAATGTGATCTAAGCAATAAATGCCTTTCTGGGGGAACAGCCCAGGATGCCCAGGCAGCCTCCAGCAGCCGAAGGCCTCGATGTTTCCTTCTGCAGTGTTTTGTATGGATCCAGTCACTCTGCTGCAGAGCGCAGGAGATCTCTGCCACCCAACATATTTTTAAGCAGAATTATGTGTCATGCATCTGCTTTGCTCCTTGCCAGAACTTTTTTTTTTGGCTTTTTTTTTTTTTCCCCCTAATGGAGCAGTTGCTCTTAGGAAAAAGGAGCTGAAATTGGGGCTGGCAAGAGGAAAGCTGCACGGCTTTGCCAGGAGGACCTGCCCGGTGAGGGGCTCGGAGGCGGCACAAAGGAGCCTTTTGTTTCCAGGTTGCCAGCTCAAATCTGTCCTAAGCTGGTAGCAAACAAATATTCACATTCGAGACTTGTCCGATCCCCACGGGGCGGTGAACGATGGACCGTGGTCGGTGGCCCCGCGCCAGGCCGAGCGGAGCTGAGCACAGGGCAAGGGACCAGCTCGTTTGCTAGTGACAAGCAGTGCAAGAAAAGGAGGGATTCGGGGAAGGAAAACGTTAAGATTATGGTCTGTTTGCTAAGGATGCCATGAGTAGAGGCACCAGCAGGTGAAAAGTCTGAACCGGTGCCCTCGGTTGGTGACAGGGCCAGGAATTAGAGCCCAGAGCTCACCAAAGATGTGGGCAGCACCGAGAGCGGTTTTCGTGCGGTCTTCTCGGCAAAGCGAGTTTTAGGATTCGCTTCCTGCAGGCAATTAATTGCTGAGCTACAAATGTGCTTAAAGACATGCATCGAGAAGCGATTCTGCACGACTCGCATCAATAAAATCAATGGGGATTTGGCCACCGAGGGCGCTGCGAGCTGGACCGGGCTGCACACAGGGCTGGGCTCCAGCTCAGGGCTGGACGTGCCACCCAAAAGCTTCCTGCTCATCACCACCATCCTGGACCTCCTCTTCCCGCCTCTTTTTTGACTCGCTACAGGTGGAAAAGGAGCTGGGATGGAGTTGGTGGGATGGGGCCGGCTCCCTGCGTGACCTTGATCATCCTGGCAAGACTTTGGGGACGGGAGGACAGGTTGAGGGGCTCTGCTGGGAAGCTCCGCAATGAGCACGTCCCGTTCCGGATGCCTGCGGGGGACCAGGGACATTTTGTTCAGCCCTTTTGGAAATCAAAGCGTGGAAGCTGAACTCTGAGCGCAGCAGCAATGCGCTGCAGCACCTGGAAATGGGGAAGAAAGCAGGGAACTCATCCCTGCCCACCAGCCCCGCTGCATCCCGCTCCCGCCGGTGAGCAGCCATGGATCCAAGCTGCTCTGTGTCCAACAACAGGGAATTTCTGCACAAACTCCACCTGGGACAAGCCCGCTCTAGATGTCTGTAGCCCTGCCAGCGCTTCCCGTAGCTCCACGGTGCCGTGTTACTCATTTTCCTCATTATCTGGACAGATCCCGACGACAAGGAGGGAGCAGCCTTGGGTCATTTCCCTACTGCCACTTTCAGCCGCAGCACAAATCCTGCAGACTGACCGTGTTTCCTGGTGCTGGGGGTGGCTCCGGGGGGTATTTAGCCCCGTTTCCCCCCCTCCACCTCCGGAAAGTCCCTGAGGAGCCTCCTGGACAACGACCCTTCCCGCAGCTCCCTGCGGAGGCTGCCGCTGTCACCAGGGTCCCCTGTCTCTCTTGGTGACGCTCAGGCCCGGGCGCGTGGCTGCAAAGCTGCCACGAGGGCATCGCTCTCCAGGGAGCATCCCTGCCCTGGGAGCATCGGATTCCCTGGGGCATCCTCATCCTGGGAGCATCCCGACCTGGGAGCATCCCGACCTGGAAGCATCCCCAGCTCAGGACCACTGCATTCTCCAAAGCATCCCCATCCCAGCAGCCTCCCTATCTCAAGACCATCACATTCCCAGGACCATCTCCAATCAGGGACCATCCCTATCTAGGGTTGCTGCAATTTTGGGACCCTCTCCATCCCGGGAGCACACCTAAACTGGGAGCATCCCCATCCCGGGAGCATCCCCATCCCGGGAGCACCCCCATCCCGGGAGCATCCCCATTCCGGGAGCATCCCCATCCCGGGAGCATCCCCATCCCAGGGCTGCTGCAATTTTGGGACCACCCCGTCGCGGGGGCCCCCTGCAAGGTCACACCTGTGGCAGCGCGGGGCGGGCGGGGGACACGG